GCCACACATGTGCCAGCTGGCCTGACAGGAGGTTCGCACACCACCACAACTCCGCCACTGCACCCTGCACTACCATCCCACAGCCACCTGCATGGCTTTGTGGGCAAGTGGCGCAGGGCACAGCTGTAGCAGTACAGTGGCAACCACCGTGTGCAGGTCACATATGTGCTGCCCGGCCAGGGGGTGAAATGGGGAGCTTGCATACAGCGGCGTGCCCCACAACTGGCTGCATGGCTCCGAAGTGGTGTGGGGTGGTGCCAGCTGCATGCAGGTTGGGGGGCTTTGTAGGGAAGCGCTGCCACCGTGGAGCCATGCCCTTCCCCTCTGGATCCTAGAGGTAAGTGGGGCTTGGGGACTGTGGGGCAGGGCTGGGGAAGATGGTTGGGGGCTGAGGGAGTGGCGGGTACATCACAGCTGGGACCAGGGCCAGGAGGTGAGGGCAGGGGTACCCCTCTGTGGGGGGGCTTTGCGGGCAAGCTATGCGGGGCACAATGGGGTGGTGCCCACCATGTATTGGCCACACGCATACTGCCAGGCCACCTGCCCACGGGAGGGGGAGAGGGAGGCTGGCATGCAGCTGGAGCACAGCTCTGTGAGCGACTCGGCAGCCATGATGGGGGGGGAAGCTTGCATGCGGCGGCTGCTGCTTCTTACCTGGAGGCCCGTGACAGCCGCTGCCTACACAATTTCCTGCTGCTGCTGCGGAGCCGTGCTTGAAGCTGTACGACCAGCAGCAGTGGTGCGGCGCAGTGCAGGGTGGTGGTGGGGATGGCTGCGTGCCACCCGGCCACCACCACGCTGCTGACCAGCGGCCAGCCGCACAGCTCTGCGGCGGCAGCGGGTGGTTTTGTAGGCAGTGGCCGCAGCGTGCGAGCCCAAGCCCCCCCCTCCACGCTCCCATCCCCCGCCGTAGCTGCAGAGCCGGCCCCGGAGCTGTGCTCCATCCACGTGCCAGTCTCCCCTGGGCAGGCAGCCAGGTGGGATGTGTGCGGCCCGGGCACCAGCACACTGCATCCTGTATCTCTTGCCTGCAAAGCTCCCCGTAGAAGGGCACCCCTGCTCTCACCCCATGGCCCTGCTCCCAGCTGCGATGTGCCACCTGGGGCCAGCAGCACCCCCTGATGCCTCAGCCCCCAACCATCTTCCCAGCCCTGCCCCACAGCCCCACTTATCTCCAGGGGCGAAGGGTGACCCTTGGCTGCCTCAGAGGCTCAGGCCCCGCCTTCCCTTCTCTCCCTCCCCCTCCCACCAGGACTGGGGGTTTTTCACCCTTTTTGCAATCGACTCTTGCAGGCTGGAGCTGTGCCAGCCTGCAAGAGCGCTTTGCAAAAGCGGAGAATCCAATCCACAGATTTCTCTGCTATAAAGAGAAATCTGTGTTTTTCCGATAAAAACAGGGAATCCATGGTTTTCTCAGTTTTTCCGTGGAAAACGGAAAACCCGGATCCCTGCTAATGAGGGTAAAATTGAAGCATCTCATGTGGTAAGGACAGGATGTGGGGATGATGGAGCCCTGCGAAGAGGAGCCAGCTTCTAAATTGCAGAACCTAACAACAACTTTGTCTCACAGAACTGTGTCCATCTTTTTGTAGCGAAAATAGATACTTTTCTCTATGTTTCTTTGT